CAAGACAGGCGAGCTCGAGAACCCCACACATGTGAGGTTGTGGCTTCAGGCGAGGTCTCAACGAAATCTACAGGCGGGCTTCAGGCGAGGAACGATGTCAAGCGAGCTCGACGCATAGCAGGTGAGGGCGAACTCGTGGATCTGCTGGCAAGCCCGAAATTGAGCGCATGCGAGGTCGAGAACTTTCAGGTAAGCTCCTCGAGCACAGGCGAGCTCCTCGAGCACAGGCGAGCTTCTCGAGCACAGGCGAGCTTCTCACAAGCTGTCGACAGCCTGTCGACAACTCAACGCTGGGGTTTCCCTATAAAAGGGAAACCCAGAGCCCTAGCCCCTAGTGCTTCTGCTTCTCCTCGTTCTCGCGTTTTTCTCTTCCGCGGGGGCTCTCTCTCTCTCCTCTTTCTCCTTCAGCTCACGTGATTTTGGAAGGAATTTAAGAAAATAGAATTTATTGAGAGGAAAATCAAAGAGGGGTATTTAAAAAGGGAATTATCACTATAGCTACAGTGATAGTTGGTATTTATTGAGAGATCTCAAGTTTGAGATCTGCTCTTGCATTGTAATTTCTTGTTAATTAATAAGAAATTAATTGTGTGACTCCCAAGAACGTAGGCAAGTTTGCCGAACCTCGTAAATCTTGATGTATTTTTCTTTATACTGTGTTTTTTTTCTGTTTTAGGAGTTTAGCGTAGCCCCGGATATTTCCCAACAATATATATCCAAGAAGTTCCTAGAAATGTTACATGCCGGTGCCAGAAGAGAGTGACATCAATGAATCATGAAATCGTTATCCTTGCTCTCAAAGTAATAAGAGAAACGTAAATTTACTTCAGAGAACTAATAAATTATAAACAATCTTTCAAAACATAAACCGTACTGAGTTTGAAGTGAAACTACTAATCACATGGAAGGTTAGAGAAACTAATTAAAAAGGGTAGTTCATGTGTATGTCCTGTGGCTGAATGAAACTTTCTGCAGCAAATGAAAATTTTCATCCAAACTAATTAAAAGCATTTCCATTTCTCCTGAAACCCATAATGAGGATAATTAAATGCCCTGATGAGAGTAGTTGCCATGATCTCGTATGCTTTCTGTGTCATGTGAATACCATCCCAACTGATATGTGTTGCTGGATCTTTGCATGTTGAAACCCCAGGGAAGCCACATTGCTTCTTCACATCAAAATTATACTCACCACCACTTCCGCAACAAGCTTTTAGTAAAGATGACTCATCGAACCCTGTACAAGAAAAAAAAATGTTAAATATTTCAAACCACTTGCTATATTCTTCTGCTTTTTAATGCACATATTCAAAGTTCAGTCTGCTATTTTTGGGGGAAAAAAATCAATTTGTTTTCTTTTTTTTAAGATTTAAAAAGTTTTTATTTGAGTAAAATATCATTTCTTGTAATCTTCCTAAAAAATTCTCAAAGTAATCAGCTAAATTTTACCATTTTGTCAAATATATCTCTTTGACTATCACGAAAAGGTCAAAGCATTATGCAAAATAATTTGCTATTTTCCAATAAAAAATGCTTTTAAAATGAAATAAGGCATACCTAGTGCGGAGGCATTTTCAATAAGATACATGAATGCACGATAATAATCCGCATATTTGATGTGAACATAGGGGTATGTTTTCCTTAAATCTCCCAAGGCTTCTTGAAGTTTTGCATTGTGGAATAGTGAAAAGGCATTCAAGTCTTTTAGGCAATTGTTTTCATCATAATCTTCTTGATTCTTTGATCCAAAGGCTGTAAGGTATATCGGCATGCATCCAATAGGAAAATTGCCAGGAACAACTACTTGAGCAGCACCAAGATCGATTACTTCCTGCATCAGTTAGGAAAAATCAATTACCTGCAGCTAATAAATTTAATAGTACAACTATATAGTATTAGAAAGGTACTATAAATCTTTCAAATTAATTCTATACATTATAAGGAAACTGTAATTGTTTCAATTTTCTAAGGAATATATAAATAACACATTTATCATGTTAGTTTCTTACAAGTCTGTCAATGGTTTTATTGATTCTTGATGCACAAACGAAAAAAAAAAATTAATCTTCCTCCTATCTATGATAAGAATATTCTTTATCATAGATCAATAATTTTCTTTCACATATCCTTTTCGTGTTGAATACTTTCAAAAATAAAAATATAAAACAAAAGAAAACAAGATAACTTGCATATTATATAAACGTATTTGCAAGATTTTCTTCTTAGACATAACTTATAGTTGTTATTTACTTGTTTTAGAAGTTTAATTCTTCATATTTATTATGATGAGAAGCGAGAAATTACCTTGGTAGCATTAACTATTGTTTGCACGACATAAGGAACATAGTCTTCCAATTGTGGAATGGTTTTTCCTGCGAGGAAGGCATAGTTATAGTCGTTGCCTCCGATCTCTCCCATCATAATGAGTGATTGTGTAAGCTTCTTTGCGCGTTCTGCACGCAAAAACAACAATACACAAAATCAATCTTTAGAACATCAATATTGTTTGAACAAGTAGAATTAGTTAGGTAATGACACTGCTAGTTTTCTCAAGGTTTACCTGCACGTGAGAAGCATGTGGAGTTGAGATGGGACTTGAACCATCTAAGCTGAACATTGAGAGAGCTACTCGTGAAAAGGTTTGTAATATGCTGGTTGTCAAAGAAAGATTTATCAAGTACTGTGGCTCCAGCTACAGCAAAGTTAACTCCATATTTGAAGTCTCCATTCTTGTCTAGAAACGGAGTAACAAGTGGAAGATCTAGAGCCAAAGCTGGAAGGGAAGGAAAAAAGGGGGAAATTTTCAGTAACATAATAAATAATTGTAAAACTTAACTGCAAAAGCAAATGACTTCTTATGGGTCTTAGTAAGAATAAATTGTGAATAACCGAAAAGGCAGTACATATTGAAATTTCTTAATCTTGAAATTAAGAGGAAACTCTTTCACTAATACATTAGGAAAATTAATTGAAATATATATACTTAAAATTTCAAGTAGATATGATGTATATCTAATCTGCAAAGTGAAAGGTTGCCTGTAATAGGATTGAGAATCCGAGATGAGACACCAATCGAGGGCTCTTGTTCTCGGTTGCAGGTGGACAAATTAGGTCTCTTCGATGTAGGACGCTTAACGGACAATTTCATGGAGGATTCGGACAATCACGAGCTAAATACAGATTTATACGTATTATTAACTTCCGCAAAGAAACAATAATATCTTCCAATTTGGAAGGCGGATTGTAACATATATAAATCGTCTGTCTCGACGAGACGGAGCCAACCAGATTGTCAGATTTTTAAAATCTCATCAGTAATACCCAGTTTTGGCTGAAATTCAAAAATAATCAGCTTTTAGTTTATTTTTAGTAATAAAGTTGGAGTCTATTTAGATTAGGAAATAAATTCAATATTAATCTTTTTGGGATAGAATTTGATACTTACTATTTCTTTGTAATTCTAGTCTTACTAGGAGTCTTATTTGTCTTTCTATTTAAGAAGAATCATGTAACCCCAAAGAATAATAATCTTTTTATCAATAAAATTCCTCTTTAATATTTTCTTCATGGATTCAGAGATCTTTCTTTGCGAATTCACCTTGGATTCATATCAATTATGCTTCTTCTGTGTTCTCTTAATCTTGTACTTAAGTACGTTTTTGCTTTCCCAATTAAGTTGGGAAACCCTGTCAACAAATTAAGGACACTTACTAATCACATAAAAAAAGTATGAGTCGTGATAATAAGAACACGTCCATCTCATGCATATTTAACTTTTTAGCAAAACTATTTTCCTCCAAACTTTAGACCTGCACATAGTCATGCAAACACAAATTAAACAGAGATAGAGGTAGGCGCATATATACCCAAGTAATCGATCATGAGGAGGCCATCAGAGCAACGGCCGGTGGACTTGTTAAAAGTAGTCTCGCCGTAGGGAAGATTGGCGATGGTAGAGAAGGGCCCACTGGCTCCCTCGCGCATCAGGTTGCCGGTGTCGGCAATGGAATCTCCAAAACTGAATATGGACTTTATGCACGGCCTCTCTCGAATCTTGAAACCCAAGCTAGGTTGGAAGAACAAGATGACGACGGCGAATAGAAACTTGGTGAACATATTCATTGGCAACGTGGAATAAAAACTCGACAACGTACGGGTTTTCGATCGCAGGAGGAGAGGCTGGTTGTTTGGGAGTTTTTATAGCCAGCTATGTGCCAGTCTTATCTTGGTGCAAGTTCTAATTCGGATATTGGATTTGAAACAAGAACTCGAGTAGGAGACAACTTACTTAAACAAAGTAAGACTTGTACCCTGATAATAAATACCTGGTAATAAATACGGGCCGGAATGCTCGGTATGCTTCTATATTGGGCCTCTACAAGGGCCCAGCCCGTTATCGTACCTAAATCCTGTACTAAAAAAATTATTTTAAAAAGAAAAAAAATCATGTGCGACTAAAATGGGAGGGGATTCGGATCTTTTTACTATTTAAAAAAGTAGCGGAGGGACCACTATATAATCATCACCATTGATTATCTAGTTGTTGGTTATGATTTTTTCTTTGAGTACAAATTAGAAATGAGTGCGATACACGGGGATGTTAAGTATTAGATTTAGATTGTATCATAACCGCTTATTAAGTAATCAACGATTAAGATTAAAAAGTAATGGTATCTCTACTACTTTACTTTTTTGTAGTGGAGAGGATTCAAATCCAATTGGAGGGTGAGTGAGAAGAAGAGTCGCTGCATCGACAACAATGATGGCGGCCTTGAATATCTACAATGCAAACATGGGCCTCGTCCGCGAGCCCCGTCGCCTATACCCGATGCCTCCCCGCGCTATAACCCTCGACCAGTTCCGAATGCTCACACGTAAATGCGACGTAGCCCTCACTCACCTTGCCGCCGCACGAAAAAAAAAACCCTGATTCGAGCGGTAACGAGGAGGTTGAAGGAGAAGCGAACGTCGATGAAGAAGAGAAAGAGGTAAAGAATGCTGAGGCTTCTGGGACTCAACAGATCGCAGTTGAAGGAGAGGCGGAAGTAAATGAGGAGAAGACAGTTGATGCTAATGAAAACTAGAATGTATTAATCATTTGAATATGCATCTTGCCGATTCTGAACGAATCAGGCTTCGCTTTTGACGTTTGGGATAATAGACGATTTTTTGGGCAGGATTATCGTAGGGTGGAATCTGCTAGTTTCTTTGTGGGGGAGCGAAAGTTATGATTTTGTGAAAATTTTAGAGGAATTTAACAAAAAAAATAGACCGTTTTTGAAATTTTATTAGCAAAATCAACCTTTTATGAATTTAATTAGCAAAATCGACCGAAGTGATCGATTTTGTGAAATATAATTTTTAAAATTAATAATAGTCTCGTGTAATTACTGTTGGCTAGTCACATACTAAATGAACTTTAAAAAATACTCCGAGACTAGTAAACTTCATTAGGACGTAATTAGGCACCACTAAATACATGAGACTAGTAGTCACATGTATTTTAAAACTTTATTTTTGCAAAATTCACCTCTTAGTCGGTCAAAAAGTTATCGATTTTGCTAACGAAGTTTCAAAAAATGCCATTTTTAAAAAAATTCTCCAATTTCAGATGAAAAGACAATTGGCGGTTGGTTTTGGATTTCCATGCATTACAATTATGCTGCATGAATTTTCTGAAACGGGGATTTACTATATATGCCCGGCGAGTTCAGGGTCTGTTGTTAATGATTCTCTGCAGATTCTCCTTCATTTTGTTAAAACTTTGGCACGCAGCCATGCAGGGGAGAGGGGATGAAAACTTGAGTTTGCAATCCAGTCATTCGATAGCATATGTTACTGATTTGACTTGCAATGTAATGAAGTAAGCTTTAGGAGTTGTTTGGCGGCTCACGCCTGGGCAGTTGCGACTGCAATTGCATGCAGCTAGATCCATTTCAATTTGAATTAATGCAAGCGCGTTGCAACTGTAGTTGCAAGCTACGAAACGATCTCTTGATGCTTTTCTTGGCAGTACATCATCAGTTTAGGCGTTTTTTTTTTTTTTTGAACTTTAAATTTGACGAGGTGAATAACATTCGGTCTAACATAACTTAACAGGGTAATATAATCCTCTGCAGCAATTTCTGAAAATTCCAGTCTGAACCAAAACCGAACGGACCGCTTTGAGCCAAAAAAAAATTTAACCAGCTAGCAACTATAACCATGTTGATTCGTGCTAGCACGTTAAATACTCCCCAAGATTGATTGCACAAAGATTTAATTCATATTGATACTTCAAAGAGTTTTTTGCTTGCTTATTGTCTCACAGTCCGCTTAAATTACATGAATGACCACTAGCTACATCTGCCCTAAGGCTAAAATTAATGTAATAACGAACTAATAGAACTGGGAAAATAAAAGGTACAATGAATACAAATATTGTCTTTTATTTCAGTCCTCGTCAGATGCCACTCTCACATATATCAAGGTCAAAAGTTACTACAAAGGAATCGAGTACAGTTGCATCCACGCTACACTACATATGTAATAGCTCCTGGATAGATTTCCCCCCACTTTTTTTTTCCCAACGTTCAAGCTAAATACAGATGGAGCAAAAAAAAAAAAAAGTACATACTACATAAGGAACAGCTATAACTGCACCAAGATGGTTCACATACTAATGCAATTACAGACCCAATTGGTGGCGAAATTGGGTATGCTGCAGTTGCTGGCAACTACAACTTGAGTTTTTACCTAACAAGGACCCAAGAGGACAACAAAAAATTGCTATATGCCACAATCGCAAGTCAAACAGGAACGGTAAAGTGAGCCAAAGCCCCAACTACGGAAGAACGCATTCAAGGATACCTGACATATTCACCAAATTCTTTTCAAGATCCTAACCCAGCAAAAAGACTGTAGACCAATAAATATTCTTACCGTAACTTGGAAGAGCCCGTCATTTCTTAGAAAGAATGCCAAAAATGATAGCCAACAGCACGACCAACATCATGACCTGTTAAAGAGGAAAAGCAGCGATGAACAAATATCAGATAGAATTCTTCTTTCTTTATTTCTTTATTTTATTTTGCCACACTCAGATGAAGTTCTAGACATCAAAGCATAAGTTCCGGAATATTAGATAACAAGTCATAGTCTTCAAGGCATAGTTATAGATTTTATAGCATCAGGAAAAGAGTCGTGGAAATCACCATAACAGGGTTAACTCGTTGCTGCTTGTTAAAATAGCCATAGCCCCTGATAAAAAAGACATTTCAAGAGATTAAAAAAACAGAAATCAGATAACAAATTAAGAGGATAAATACAAGGGGTATGATGGGATGAAGCAAACAGAAAAGGGACCAAAGATGATTATTACTAAAATAACCTCAAATACACATACTTTTTATCTAGTTTCCCGGAAGAAATACAAGCCTTCTGTATAGCTTCAATGCGCTTATGGGTAAGAGCAGCGTTTGGATCACTCTCATCCACCTGCGGCAGCTGGTAAATTAGTGCATCGCATGGATTTGTTACAGCATGATTATAGAGATTAGCATATTCAGTCATGTAATATTAAGATGAAGATACAGATTCCCATTGAATTATATATAACTACTAAAACTTTGCACTAGTAGGATTTGAAGCAATTCCTCTAGAAATACTTCAAATCCTGAATACAAAGTACTCATCAACTCATCAAATCAACTTATATGAAAAGCAAAAGCTTCAATGCATTTTTGTGAAATGAAAAAAAGAACCAGCAACCAAATATTCCAAGAGCTGATGTATGAAACAAATTTATGCGACATAAACAGATTACTTACGAAGATCTAACCCCACTAACTTTTAAGAAAAAGAATGAAGTAAGTTGGATAAAAAAGATGACATTGCACAGTTTCAAGTTGGGGCTCAAAAACCATACCAAAGATATATAACAAACACAATGCACAAATTTTATAGAGGAAAAAGTTAACATGTTAGAAGAATGTATCCTCTCAAAGGTCCACTCCGTTGCAACAAAAATAAGATGGACAACATGACAAACATAATTGTCAAGATAACGTATTCCAGTCAAAATTAATATCTTCTATGTTTAGAATGCAGTACTACTTTTCTTCCAATATTAGCTAACAAACACAAGTATCGTTATTGCTGATATTCTGAAAGATTACTGTGAGACGAGCTAAGCAAAGAGCACACTTTCCAGCTATTAATTTACAACTATAACCTTGATACAAAATGAATAAAAAACACAGCACACAAAACACAGTAGAACATACTGAATTTTCCGAATAGGATATAAGAAAAAGTTGTTTAATTGTAACAATACCTTCGACTTCAACAGTGCAGAGAATTCGAAAAAAGCACCATAAACATCGGACATCATTCTTGTCTGACCAATAACCTTAGCAGTTAGTCCTGGAAAGGAGCATGGTCAAACATGTAACATTGGATTGGTTAAAATGCATGATACTGGACTGGTTAAAACATATGAGAATTGAAATGGTTTAATGCAAGCCTAAAGTTATAAAGGGCAACAATACCAAACAGAAGAAGAAAAAAAATACATAGAACAGAGAAACCTACAATACAGAATGTGATGTAGTAAAATGTTGGTGATGGATAATTCTTACTCCAAGACGTAAGGCTTGACAAGGACATTACCCCATTATTAAACAAGTCAAAACAACTGAAACAAAACTAGCCACCAACATGCCCAAAGCATAAAACTTTCTAAAACATGCTCAAACTATTAAGGTATGCTTGAATATCTGATATATCTGATGCTACCAACTAGTTGCTTTGAAATAGGATTGACAGGGAAAAGAGAAGCAATTTCAGGTGTCGTGGACTCTTAAGAAACAGGAAAAGGCTGTTTTTCATAAAACTCTTTTTTAAATTTTTTGCTGCCTATCAGGTTTTCTAAAACAGGTCTTATGAAAAGATAAAAAATTTAATTATTTAGACCTTATTCTGGGCACCTGCAAACCGAACTGACACTTAGGGGTTAGCATAGGATGGACACAGTCTACATCTTTTTCCATGAGAAAATGATACATGGATATATAAAGAAAATAGATGGTTACTAACCGAAACTCCTCGGAAAAAAAAAAAAAAAGATTGTCCTCCTTTCTGCTCAGGAATTCCTGAGTATCCAAAAACATTAATGT